CATGCAACGCATACCGCATCGCCCCATACCCATGGGGCGGATCGGTTTGCTTTGGTTGGGTTTCGGCGGCTCCTAGGTTTTGAATTTGGGCAGGCGGTTTTGTTGGTAGTTGAATTCAAATTTAGGGCTTTTAAACTTCTATTGTGGTCCTAGGGATCATACTATGTCCTACGGTCTTGTGGGACTTGTCTCGGTGGTTTACAGCTTGGGACTGGTCTTGAAAGTGGATGTCTACAATTGCCCTTTTTTGGCACTCCTTGCTTTTCGAGAGACATGAAAGTGGCAAAGAAGTGGACACCAAAGACCTAAATTCTAATACCAAATAGTGAAAGGACAATCATCGTCCGTCTCACAGTTTTTCTACTTTTCTCAGTGCGGAGCGACACAACCAAAATTCCTCAACTATTTGTTCAACTGATAGAAGAGTACATGTTCATTCTGCACTTGTTGTTGAGCTCAATTTCCTAAATTTCAACTCAATTGAGCTAAAGTAATGATTGTGAAGCAAAGAGATAGTCAAGGGTACTCATGTCACACCACTCTAATGGCCTCTTTCATCCATAGAACCCAATACTCCTATTAAAAGAGAAGTGCCACGTAATTACGCTCTTTACATGGGGAGTATAAAAGTGCAAAGGTTTCTAAAGGCCGCAAAGCGTAATCGATGAAGAGACTAGTAGAAAGTAATTAGATTATAAAATATCCCTAAATTTTCCTGAAATTGTAGGAACATTTCATCCATGATCTAATGATTTCTATTAACTAACTAAGATAACAAATCGTAAGCAAGAAAAATCAAACTAAAGTACAAGAGAAATTAGCTATCCAATTTCAACAATATTTTCCTAAACTTGTTTAAAGATTTGTTCATACAACAAAGACCTCTTAGATGGTACGGACACAAGTTCTTTTAGACAATTTGTTAGCCATATTGTATAGTGATATGACCGTTGGAGACGGTTGCACATTTCAACTTAGAGAATGAGAGAGGCCCACATCTAGTGCATCTAAGAGGCATGGATAGTACAAGGATAAAGAGAGGAATAGAATATCTTAGAGAGAGAGAGTGTCTCAAATTTTATATTTTAGAGAGGGAGAGAGAGGAGCTCAAGCAATTCATGCTTTCAAAACTCATGATTTCAAGCAATTCATTCTTTCAAAACTCATGGTCTCTTTTACTCTAAACAGATAAAATAGGTCCTAGAGATACTAGTACCTTACCTTGGTAGCCTATGGACTCAATAAATAAGACGAATGAAGCACGTGTTGAAAAATAAGTTTGTCTTTTAACAATGTTAGATTACGTACTTAAAAATATGGACGGTAAAAAGTTTTAAAAGTTTTGTGTGAAGGGAACTTTTGTGTAGATTGCACTAGAAAGTTTGAACATGACTTGGTGTAGAGTACCAAGGCTAGAATTTACAAGAATGATGCAATTCATGCAATTTTGAATCTGAAATATGTGTTTTCTAGAGTATTCTAGGTAAATTTGACTAAATTTTTTAGTCTATATAAATGGAAAAAAAAATAGTTAGAAAGGTGTAATGGAAATCAAGGAAGGTCCTCAATAGTCTAGATGTACACGTACTTGTTTCAGTGATGTAAGAAATAAAATAAGTGGTAGGGTAGGTAAATGTGATTAGTTCCGGCCTAACTTGCATTCCAATAAATGGTATTATATCGAATGGCTGATCCAACTACAAATTCCACTTCCACTAAATATGGAAATCGCATATTCAAATGAAAATATTGTTGACATCTCAAGATGCTCTGAATATTGTTGAAGTAGGGTAGGTAAAACTAAAAGAAAAAGCTACTTTGAATAAATTAAAGGAGTTTGCAAAGTAGGCATGAAGGTTGGATAGAAAAGTTTATATAAGTTTGCAACCTTAAAATATAGAATTATATATGCACCTTAAAAATCCATCGGAAAATGTTGCTTTTTTTTTTTAACAAATGTTATCGGATTTTATTGTCAACTAAAATGCAGTTACATCACTCACTCATTACATCATTCAAAATAGAAAAGGAATCCATAGCAACACCTCTTTTAGCCAAACTATCAGCAAGATTATTCGATTCTCTAAAGACGTAATGGAACAATAAAGATAATTCTCTTTCCAAATTCACCACTTGGACCCAAAACGATCGTAGCAATCAGAGAACTCTTTGTTTGCAGCACCTAATCACATTTTGGGAATCACCTTCGACCATTATACGGTGACCCAAATTCATGCCTTTTATAAGGAGTAATCCTTTGAGCAATGCCCTAAACTCAGCCATGTTAGCCGTGGCAATTCCAATAGGTCATGTATAGGCAAGAACAATTGATCCAATCCAATCACATACCACACCTCCTATCCCTACATTACCCGAATTATCAAGAAAACTGCTATCAAAGTTTAACTTTAACCAACCTTGTATCGGGGGTATCCATTTACCAAATGGTCTGGTCTTAACACTCTTAGAAACCACCAAATAGGCTCGATTAAGCCGTAAATCACCACCAAATAGGCTCGATTAAGCCGTAAATCAATCTCGTTAACACCTCTCCCATCCTTAGTGATCGACAACCAACACCATAACGTATGAATAATATGTTGGATTAGGCCGTCACAAGACAAACCAATTCCTTTAAAAGTACGTCTATTCCGTTCTTTCCATAACTCCCAGCACACAGCTCCTTTAACAATTTGCCAAATCCTTGCCCCCAATTTTGGTAAAGCCAGAAATACTAATTGAGATATGATACCCAAGACACTTTGAGGAAGAGACGTATTGAAGCCTAGCATCACAAAGAAGTAATACCATATGTATGTTGCATATTGACAATGAAGAAGCAAGTGCGAAATCGACTCCCCATCCTCTTTACACATCAAGCAAACATTTGACAAGATATTTCCTCTTTTAATGAGATTATCAACAGTAGGAACCTTATTTTGTCCAACCAACCAAATAAAACATTGGACCTTATGAGGAATGGGTCATTTCTAGATTTGGGAAATTTGAGGCAACGACCATCTGTGATGATCATGGAACATAAGAGAATACATGGCTTTAACCAAAAAAAGACCATCCTTATTGTGCTCCCAAATCACCTCATCATCAGTATTATTGGACAGTACCACCTCCTGTAGCTGTAAAAACAAGCTCGAAACGTGCGCAACAAACTAGTTATTAACTCGATTATAAGGAAATTGGATATCCCACACCACCTGCTCTCCAACAACCTGATAGGTTTCACATATCAGAGGATTTGGGGAAGAGGCCTTTGCGAACAATTCAGGGAAGGAACTCTTCAAAGGGCAATCCCCTAACCACTTATGGTGTCCAAACAGGACTTGAGTGTCATTCCCCACATACCACGTAATTTCTCTATGGAGATAGGCTTTTTGAATAGAAAAATATCTTTCCAAAATACAGATCTAGATGCACTTCTTCTACCACATCCAATCCACACTCCAAACCTATCAACACCACATATTTAGCAGTTAGAATCTTACACTAAAGCTAATCCTTAAACAACAAACTATGCCACCACCATTTTGTTAGCAAGGCCTAATTCATCAACGCCACTCTTCGAATACCAAGACGTCCTTAACATTTAGGGGTACACACTCTATCCCATCTTAACAAATGATATTTTCCTATTCTCCTCAAAAGACCCCCATAGAAAACATCGCATCATCTTTTCAAATTTCTTAACTATACCTACTGGCATTTTCAGGAGAGACATCTGATAAATGGGTAGGTTTGCCAAGCATGATTTAGCCAAGGTCACACATCCCCCAATGGACAAATATTTTGGCTTCCATAAATCCAATTTAGTTAGAGCTCGTTGAATCACTTTATCCCATTATGAAATAGGAAACCTGGAATCAGAAATAGAAAGCCCCAGATAAATTACGGGGAATTTGTCCACTTTACATCCAAGTATTAAAGCAATCTGTCAGTTCACTGCTGCAATTAACCCCCACCATAGAATTTTTTGCAATAATTACTTTTAACCCTACCACCACCTCGCAACACCTCAAAAATCTGCCAATATATTCAATATACTCCTTCTTGGCCTCCGTAAAGATTAGTGTATCATCTGCATACTGTAGATGAGAAATAGGACCATCTTACCCTACCTAGAATCCCACCAAATTGCCCCTATTTACCATATTAAATATCATCAAGCTAAAACATTCCGCATAAATGGCAAATAAAAAAGGTGACAATGGGTCCCCTTGACGGAGTCTCTTTGAGGAGTTAAAGAAACCTTTAGGGCAACCATCAATAAGATTAGAGAAATATGGCGAGGAGAGGCAACCATAAATCCATTTACGCCATTTATCACCGAACCCCATACATTTTAAAATTTCAAGCAGGATGTTCCATTCCACTCTATCATACACCTTTTCCCTATCCAACTTTATAACAAACCCCAGTTCCTTGCTTTCAGTTCTGGAGTGGATGCACTCTTGAGCAATTAAAACACTATCAATTATTAGTCTATTCTGAGTAAAAGCTGTTTGGGGACCTGAAATAACAATACTCAACACATTTTTCAAATGCATTGCCAGTACCTTTGCAACAATTTTATATAAGCTGGTCAGTAACGAAATAGGTCTGATATCTGAGAGTTCCTTAATAACTGATTTTTTTGGAATGAGAGCAATGAAAGTAGAGTTAGCACCTCTAAATAATTCACCCCTATCCAAAATGCTTCGCACCATTCTTAATAGTTCCATCGAGAGCCTAAACCAGAACCTATGGAAGAAACACATAGGGAAACCATCAAGTCCTAGTGCTTTATCCTCTGCCAGGGAGAACACAACCAATTTCAGCTCCTCCATAGATACCTCAACTTCTAGTTGTGCTGCGGAAGCCTCTGGAAGAATTTTAAAGGGGATATGACTCATGCTAGGAGTAGCGCGTACTTCTGACATGAATGCCTTTCAAAAATGTTTAACAATTGCCAAATTGCGGCTATCCACGTCATCTTATATTACTCCTTAGATAGTAAGCCTTGAGAGATCATTCTGCTGCCTACGTGCATTGGCAATAGAGTGAAAAAACTTTGTATTCAAGTCACCCTCCTTTAGCCATTTGACTTGAGACCTTTGTCTCCAATAAATTTCCTCAGACGGCCGAAGTTCATTCAAAGCATTAATTTTTCCAATTATCTCACTAGCAAGTATCTTAGAATACTCCCCTCCACTTTGCACAGTTTGGTCGATCCCCTTAATATCCTTCAAAAGGCTGTCAATCTTAGCTCCCAACTGATACTTATTTTCTTGCTTCCATTTTAACAGCTTATGCTTCAAATGTAGTAATTTTTTATGTAGCTGGAAATCCCAAAAGCCAAAAGTAATAGAATTTTCCCAAGTCTTCCTAATAAGATCCCTCACACCCGCTTCATCCAACCATCCAATCTCAAGTCTAAAAGGCTTTGGACCTCCAATTGAAGAGCTAGAACGAAGAAGCAGAGGTGTATGGTCCGAAGATAGCCTAGGCAAGGCTATCGCATAAGCTAACGAAAAGCTCTCCAAAAAATCATTTGAAACTAGGAATCTATCAATTTTAGTCATGATGAGACTCCCAGAACAATTATTGGTCCAAGTAAAAGAAGCTCCTAGTAGAAATAAATCCACTAGACTATGGTTTTGAATAAAACCATTAAATAATCTCATAGAAGGGTTAATCCAACTTCTTGAGGAAGAATCCTCAGGCAACCGAATTCAATTGAAATCACCCCCCACACAAAAAGGAAGATTCAAACCAGATAAAACCCCCGATAAGTCATTAAGAAAGCCAACTTTGAGTGCTACATTGTTTGGAATATATACATTCACAAGACCCCATGAGAAATTACGCTCAGGACCATTAAAAAGTATAGCTAACCACCTATCCCCTTTTAATATCTCAAAACTTTGCAGAATATGAGGATTCCACAATACCCACTGCCCACCCGAAGCCCCAACAGAATCAATGCCCTCAAAACACACCGAACCCAAACCCCAAACTTCACGAGCACCCACCATAGAAGGGCTGGGAAGTTTGGTCTCTTGAAAAATTAGGACATCTGGTTTATAATTCTTAACCAAAAATAAACATCCTTCTTCCTACTAGCATCCCCTAAACCTCTAACATGCCAGTTTAAAATAAACATCAGTAAATATTGGAAGAAGAACCGGAACCATAAGCGTGAGGCCCATATAAAGATGTATCGAACATGGCAACGCCACCATCATCATCAGAAGACTCATCGGAGCTCCTTGCAACCAGAGCATCCACATTCAAACTCAGCTCCCTAATCACCACATTAGCGCCTCTGAACCTCAGTCTACTCGAAAATCTGGAGGGAGCAGCCGACTTCTTTTCCTTAGTTTTGAGCAGCATTGTCTTCTTCCCCTTGCTTCGAGGAACAATGCTAGGGACTTGTCGTAATCTTCAGTCTAGAGATTTTCCATAGCCTTTGGTTGCGTCGCATCAACTGTCACAGACACAGGCACTTGCGTCTCAACATCAGCCTCCGCTTCTATTGCTTGAAGGACCACAACAATAAGGACCTCATAATCTAATCCCATATCTTCAAGAGTTCCCCGATAAAGAGCGTCCTCCTCTCCATCATCGTCAACAACTCCACTCTTTGCTTCTAGAAGAGTAGCAATGGGAATGACAGACTCAGCTAGCACCATAGCGGACTTTGGATCAAACGATTATGCCGCTCCACACTTGTTAGCGTCCCCATTGATTAACAGATTGAAGTGTCTTCATAGCAAGCTTCCCTATTTCCTCATCAGACTCAAGTAACGGAATCACCTCCAGTTCATCTACCGCTAGGGGATCAAAGCGTGACCTCTCCTCTGGGTTAGTCCTCTTCTTCACACTTCTGTGACAAGGGAGAAAGTTCAAACGATCAGCCATGAGTAGCGCACACAGCAAGATACCAGCTAGGTGTTTGGAGGCAGCAACGAGCAAATTTTCGGCACCGGCCATGGGGAAAAACGCTTCTTTAGGCCCTGCACTTCCACCTTCCTGACGAGGTGTTTTTCAAAGATTATATTCCCTAAATCTTTCCTTAAATCTTTTGCCACGGTGTCATGTTGTGCCGCTTCAACCGACACAATTTGTACCACAGATGGAGCTAGTGTACCCGCAGGGTCCACTGTCGTCACAATGTTACAACCTTCAAAGCATTGACCGAAGTCAACCCCACCCAAGAAGAAGGCAACTTATAGGAATCCAGGAAATGCCTGACTGGAATCCATCTTTTTCGGACTTTTAATTCTCTCGTAACCATATGCCATTTCACCACTTGGTTTTGGCATTCAAGATTCTTCCTAGCCCAATTCAAATGTTTCCGGTTGAATTTTACCAGCCCAACAAAACCTCCAACCATGTTCCAAATTTTTCTGTGAAATGTCTCCAGAACTTGTTTTACAGTCCTCTCACGTACTTTAGTCCATTCCTCCTTAGGACTCTGCATCTCACATGGCTGAGCCATTTGGTCACTTTTGTGAAAATTATTCGTTGTCGTACAATTGCTCTCCAAACACACATCTATCAAGAACAAATCATGGCCCACCTGTAGTCTTATATGTCTCGAACAAGGGACTCCCAAAAAATGACTGATTTGAACTCTGACAAAAGAAGCATTGGACCCACCTAAGAGCTTAAGGTCAACAACACGGTATTCTCCAAAAGAATTGACAATCTCCTTAAAGACGGACTCATTCCAAACATGAAGAAGAACACCCCACAAGCAAAACCAGGTCAGATCCCTCTTCACAAAAGACGAGTGCGTCGAAGGGCTCCATTCTAAGAGAGTCATCAACGGATCTCGAACTTTGTAAAATCTTTCCTTCCATGCTTGAGCCACATCTTGGTCGGAGCGTAAAACAAAAGCAGCCCTACCTTTGCCCAAAGAGAACATTTCAGGCAGATACGATAGACCCCATCCTCGTTTCGTCCAATCATTCAAACCAAAAATATCATCTAGCAGGGGATGAAAGGAACCTACCAAAATCTGTCCTGCCCTCCTATCAAGTTCATTCAACCCTCCAAGTTGCACCTTCGGAACATCGGAAAAGCGCTCATCTAAAGGGACTGTTCTAAAAAACTAGTCCCAAATGCTACTCTTTATATGCGGGCCCCACAATGCAACGAATATCCCCAGGCTACTTCTCTCTCTAAAGCTCTGCTCTTAAGTCTCTCCCCCCTTCCCTTGCTTTCTCTCACGAAGAACTCCCCCACGAAACTCCCACAGCAAGCTCGAGTTGTTCTTCTTCCTTCTATGCAGCCATTATCAAGAAATTAGGGATTTTATATCGACATACCCATCATCAAGAAATTAAGGATTTCAGATCCAACGAAACCATCATCAAGAAAGCCGAATGCTAAGGGGATAAACGTAACACCATTAATCCCTCCCTTTCTCACTCATCAAATAAGCCTTTCTCTTTCTACCCTCCCCTATCGGAGATGACAACTCCTGGGTAAATGATTATATATGTTTTTCAAATGCAAATCCAAGGGCAGTATACATACACCACATGTATGAATGTTGCAGATCGGAAAAGATTATTTTAATGTTAAAAAAGTCTCTAATTGATCATCTCGATATCGAGATGTATGAATATAAAAAAAAAAAAAGATTTTGAATCCCATAAATAGTGCATCTTGCAATAGATTATCTAGACCATCCATTTTCAACATTTTCATATGTTTATAGATCTACTTGATTTTAACCATTTTTAGAGTTTAAAATTTTATAGTTAAATATGAAAATAAATTTTAAGATAATCCTAAGAATTTTTTACACCAAAATTACATGTTATGATAAAATTTGAAAGTACGCCTTTATTGGATTGTTTAATGTTGCGATCTTATAGAAACCACACCCTAATATCAATGAATAGAACATTTCCCTTGAATTTTCAAAGTGAAAAATTGAAATTCGTTTAGTCTATTTTAAGTGGTAAATCAAGGTTATGGAATTTATGATTTGGGCAATTTATTGTTATCGAAAGCAAATATGGTGATTGAATTTCCATGGATAAGGCAATCTAATAGTATATGTCGAGGATGTATTGTAAAAGCAATACCATGAAAGCTTCAAAAGTGCCACACTTATGCATACAGCAGTGTTAAACTCCTGAACCTATATCACTTTGAAAATGTTAGTATTTCTTACTTTTATTTGATAATTATATTAGCAAAATGTGTTTTTATTTTCTAAAAGAAAAACTATAAGCGTTGCAAGTATATTCAAATATATTATGGCGAAGTAAAGTGGTTTTAAGTATAAAACAATAATAGAGGTGCGACTACAATTCAAATGCTTTCTAAAGTTTTTTATATAGAACATAGGAATTGCCACAAAATGACCATCTCTTACACAACACAATAAACTTGAGTTGCCAAAAGAAATAATCAAACTACTTAGAATATAGCAAGTTGCATGATGAAAAAAAGAGATTTACTAAAAGGAATTTGGATTAAGGCGCTTGCGGGGTGTATTTAATACTAGTTAAATTATATGCATTACACGTAGAAATATAATGTTGTGGTGATTAAACAATTATGTAATATGCAATGGAGAGTACATAAAAATTCAATGAGCATTCAGGTAAATAATCACATAATATGTAACTCGAAGTTCATTAAATATATGTTGAGCATTAATTGGCTAATGCATATAGTAAATAACATATTAGTTTCCCGGTTATGATCCATTTCCTGTTTTTATACAATAAGATCAGTGCAAAGGTTGAAAATATGCTGAGAATTATATGATTAATATATGCGACAGATAACACATTAGTTTCCAGGTTATGATCCATTTCCTATTTTTATACAATAAGATCATTGCAAATGTTGAAAATATGCTGAGAATTATATGAGTAATATATGCGACAAATAACATATCTTTGCAGACTACATTAAGACAGTTTTAACAAGTTTTTGATGATGTTCAAAAACATTTATTGAGCCGATCACAGATAAATTTTGTACTACATAATACTAAAACACATGTTATTTGATTTCATGGAAGGTTAGTATGCATGATGATTACAATAATAATAATAATAATAATAATAATAATAATA